CGCCAATAAAATTGGGAACGAATGGCCGAAGCGCGGCCAATCAATGTCCACGTCCACTGTCCAAAAAAACCACGGGGGCCGACGTCGGCACTCTCACCACACAAAACCATAGACCATCCCACCACGCTTCTTAGCCAGTCTAGCCAATAACCGCAAAGAGACAGTCGGCCAGCCTCATCTCGTACACACAAGTAAATACAATGGGGAGTTGTCGCCGCATATGGCCTCTTCTCCCACTCTGCCTCTCCTTCTTTCTCGAGGATGATCTTCCCTCACTAATATGAGAAGAGATGTACCGAGCTTCTACCCGGTTTATTGACAATGTATTGCTGAGGAGTGAAAGCGGCCATACCGCCCTTGAGATATACATCGCCCGAAACAAGACTTGCCCTAGTTAGGGACAGACAAAGCGACTGCTACGCAGAGCGTCCAAGTCCATAGATCACCTGGCGCCTCTGTACCAGTTTACCATCTTATTGTCTTCCTTTGTTGCTCTATCGAGAAATGAGAGGGCGTTTTATTGTCCTCGAATACGAACAAAGGGGAGGGCGCAGGGCACTCCTCTCCAAACGCTCCTCAGCAACAACAACGCCCGTACAAAGAAGAGGAGAACAGGGGGATACGCAAATCCTTGTCTAATTGTGTGACAAGACAGGGCAGACATGGCGTTGAGGGCACCCTAAAACGATCGAGAGCGCAACAATGGGGAGAAGAGAAGAGACGGTCCAAGCTATACTTGGTAATCGTTTGTTAGACCTACCATATGTCGGTTTCTGTAAGGTTCGTAAGGAACACACCCCGCGTAATAAGAATATCCCATCCATCCATTCCCGGCTCTCTGGCCTTACTTCATTCGGCATCGCAAGTTCATGACGTAGGGCGTTCATTCGGGTACAGAGTGAAATACAAGAAACGTCTACATGTCTCCTATTTCATGTAAATTTGCTAACTTGTCGAAAGTGTCACTTGCGCTCTTTACTTTTCTGCAAATTGTCCACAAGGACAACTGACCACTTTATGGAGGTTGGCTAGACTGCGGCCACTCAGGCTGAAGGAGATGGTAATGATCAT